ACTATCTATCCTTTCTTGTTTCAATTTCAATTTCACTTAATCTTTAACATCATTAAAACAAAGTTGTCCAAAATTTGATCTAATTGTCATTTTGATCTTTATAAAGTCCAGAGTTGTGCCCACCTTTTATCCCTCATATTAGTAATTTAGTCTTCTTTCTTTTTGTTTTCTGATCAGTCTTGTCAGTTTTTATTATTTTATTATTTCAAAAATGAAAGTTTGAGTTTTTCTAATATAAATACATATTTATATTTCATATATTTCTGCTCTTACTAATTTCCTTTTTTCTATTTTGTTCTTTCTCTAGCTTGAGACACATACTTTCATCAAGATTTCAGCTTTACCTCTTTTTTAATTTATACTATACATAATATATATCATAAATTGAATAATACAGCTAAAAGGCTACATATTTTCCTCTGAATGTGGCTTTGACTGTAATCCATACATTGTGATATATTTTATGTTTGTTAACATTCTGAAAAATACATCTTCAAATTCCTACTGTGATATATTTTGTGACTCAGAGGTTATTTAGAAGTATATCACTCAATTTGCAAATATTTTGAAATTTTCTATTTATCATTTTCTCAATGGCTTCTTGACAATAATCCATGATTTCTATCCTCTGATATTTATTGAGTCTTGCTTTCCAAACCAGCATTTGATAAAAGTTTCATATGCATTTGAAAAGAATGTTTATTCTATAGCTGGTTGCTTTTGTCAAAATTTGCTTTGTGTGTGTCTTTACCCCTTTATCATTATGAAATACTCCTCTTTCTCTCCAATAACACATCTTGTTTTAAAGACAGTTTTATCTATCGTCAACAGAGCCACACCAACCTTCATGTGTGGTGCCTTTCATGACATTCTTTTTGAAAGGATTGAGACAGTGACCTTATCAAATGCCCCGCCTGCAGGATGCGTTTCCTTTTACTCTCATTTAACTCGTCCCTCTGTCCTGCCCACTTCCGGGAAACCAAACCTGAGATCTAGCAACATTTGATGTGGAATGAACATACTCAGCAGCAATACTTCGTAAGCAGTGCTTTGACTTTATACTCAGTCGCATCAGGGATATGGTAATTCTCATCTCATAATATTGCTGGTTGGATTAAACCAGAGGATAAACATCGAGTGCCTAAGAGGCTGTCTGACACGTAGCAGGGAAAGAGTAGAGCTCCTCCACCTTCACATCGGTAACACTTTCGACTGGATGATCCAGTCCTGTGAGCACTGCCCTGTGCACTATAGGATAATTAGCCACATTCTTGACCTCTACCCATTACATGCCAGTAGCCTCTTCCAGTTGTAACAACCAAAAATGTCTCCAGACAATGTCAAGTGTCCTCTCGAGGGAAAAACTGGTGCCAATCCAGAACTACTGGTATAAAACAAAAACTGGTATTAAAAAAGTATTGGATAAATATTCCATAAGGACTTACCATGATGCCTTGTGCTGGGCTTTGAGATTAAGAGCTAAATGGAATGTGATTGCCAATCTCAACATGCTCAGAGTTTTGGGGAAAGACAACCAGGCAGATGGGGAATTAAAACATGGCGTGGTAAGTGCTGTGATGGGGACGATCACGTGCTATGAGAGGAAGGGCACCTAACTGAGTTGGGAGCAGGGATTCTGTCATGGAAGGATAGAGACTTCTGAGTTGAGACCTACAGGACAGAATAGTCTTCCTTTACCATTAAAGCCCAAGAGATCAAACCAATAATGGCCATTGTGAATGAAAATGAACAAACAAGAAATGAGTGATCAAAACCTATATAATTTCCAGCCTGTATTTCAGAATATGACCAATAACGATGAATCTACTACCAAATATACAGACGCAGACCTGACACCCGTGTCAGGACTGAGAGCTAGACAGGGCCCCACCAGCCATCTGCTCCTTCAGTTGTTAACAGTAAATATTGGGTTGGCCAAAAAGTCCGGTTAGTTCTTTCTGTAAAAAAAAAGACACTTTTCATCTTCACCAGTGATTTTATTGATTTGCATATTTTGAGTATCTCGGCTATCTCCTGCATGGTAGAACGCTGATTGTTCTCAATTGATGTCTCATTTTGATCACTATCGACTTCACTTGGTCTACCCGACTGTAGAGCATCAGCCGGTGAGAAAGCTCCAGCATGCAACTTCGCAAACCACCTTCGACACATTCAATCAGCCACAGCCCCTTCTCCATACCCTGCCCAAATCTTTTTTTGCATTTCAGTTGTGTTTTTACCTTTTTTTGAAATAATAAAGCATAATATGCCAAAAATGTTGTGTATTTTCTTCCAGCTTCAATATTGAAATGGCTACACAAAAATTCACCAATTTTGATAAGTTTTTTTCAATGCACACTGATGTGACAGCTGTCACAATGCTATCTAACAAAGATGTTTCAAATGAAGTTAAAGACAACGAAGGGCTACTAGAGCCATCTTACAGACAAAACCAAACAAACTTTTGGCCAACACAATACATTGTATTTTCCCATTCTATAGCTCCCAGCCCTTTTGGGGGATAGACTGAATAACTAATTCCAGGTTAACACCAGTCAGGATGATGTCACACACACACACACACACACACACACACTCCCTCTTGTTGACACTGAAAGGACTTAAATGAGGTGCCTACCCAGCTGTGCATACCAGTCAGCTGCCTGTACTGCTGTTCTTCCTGACCAAGGGCTTTTTCAGTTTGCTTGCAATGTAAGTCAGTGACTGGTTAACTGTTCCCTAAGCCTGTCTCCTCTAGTCTCTGGGCATAGCACTCAACTACCTTTCAACCTCCACTGAGCTCTAGCCCAAGGTGTGTAAGAGTGGGAGCGACATGTTCTTCTGGGTCTCACCCATGTGCAATCCTTCATGCTGTTTTCCCTTCCATTGGCTTGATGCGGACAGACATCAGTACTTTAAAAGGCAACACTTGGAGATGGCAGAGCTGAGGAGGGGCAGGAACCCATGTTTCTGAGAACCCCCTCGGAGAACAGAGACCCGGCAGCCTGGGATTCCCTTACTGGGTTTGATACGAAGAAGAAGCAAACTTCCACAGGGTTAAGTCATGAGATTTGAGGGTTTACCTAGCACCGGAGCTAGCCTTACCCTCCTAATAAGGCGAAGGAGAGACAGAGAGGTTCTCCCTGCAAGTGCAATCTCCTCAGTCCCCTGGATACACACGGAATTTCAGCCATGATCACCAAGCCAAAAGCCAGGACATTTCACTGATACTCCCTGGAGCGCAATGGGTGCGGGGGAGGCCGTTTGCGGGGCCATTGCTAAAGACCACATTTCATCTACCGTCCGCAGCGTGGAAGGATGAGAGGACGTGGGCTTTGATGGTGGACAGATGTGGCTCTGAATCTTGGCTCCCCCCTGACAACTCTTTGGCTCCATCTCCCTGGGCCTCTGTTTCTTCATCTGCAAAATGAGGGTAATAACACCTCACAGGAATTTTGTGGGGATAAAATAACAGCATATAAAACACTGGCACAGTTCCTAGCATATCCAAGGTACTCAATTAGTTCCCTTCCAACAACCATGAAATTAATGAATTGGAAATGTATTTACCCTTCTAATCAGAGCACTAAGCAAGAGGTGGCCTTTTCACTAAGGACAGTATTGTTTATCCTTCCACAGAAATGTCGAATATTTCGTAGAAAGAAACCAAGTCCAAAAAATACTTGCGTTTTCCCCCTACATTTAAATGAGAAGAATTTAAGTTTTAAGAAAACTTAAAAACAAAAGCATCCACAGAGGCAATGTTCATTACTTTTACAACTGTTTTCCCTCACAAGAAATAAATGTCATATTTTCAAACCAACAGCAGCAGAACATATGCTGACCTTTGACCCTGCAGAAGAGCAATGACTGAGACCATCTACACAGCAGAGGGAGAGTAAAGGATTTTGCTGGGGAACTTCCCTTCCCATTCCCACGTTGTCCCGGACGAGCAATCACAGAGCTGACAAGCTGGTGGCAGGCCCTCCACCTCACGCAAGCCCGTCCCTGTCGATGACAGAGATCGGCCCGTGTGGAACGTCCTTCTAGGTAGGCTGGCAGAGCAGTGAGCTGTCGCAGGCCCTCGGACTCGAATGCAGGAGAGGGAGGCTGAGATGTCGGGTCAACCGGGACGCAGAGGGAAGCATGAGAGAGAGACGCCCACCAGCATGACTAAGTGCTCTCGGGGACAATCCCCGCTCAGAGGGCAGAAAGCAAATATCCAGATGTTATGAGCTGCCAGATGTGATTAACTGAAGAAAGGTGAAGCTGCCCACTTAACCATCTGAGCAGCTCCCCTCATCAAAGTGACCCAAAGCTTTTCTGCAAAAGCATTAATCAACAAAACAAATGGAGGTTCCATCCATTTCCCATCTTGCCCTTTTTCTTCTCTCCCTCTGATAGAGTCGGAACAGCGGCCTATTTTTAAACCACTGTCAGCATACTCTCTCATGGAAACATGTGGGCTTCCTGACACAGGCTGACGTGCACTCAGAGGTACAGGCACTCCAAGGGTTTTGCCCACTTGCTGCCCTTCCTCTCCCATGAGGACGGGGCAGAGAGGCACAGGGGAGCACACAGGGGTCCTGGCGCAGGAGCACACTCCCCATGCAGAGGAGCAGGGAGTGTCTGAAGCTGGTTTCCATGACAAGGAGCTAACTGTGGGCTTCCTTCCTCCCCGAAAGTGAAGGCTGAGGCCCGGGCCAGGACCAACCCCACATACAAACACCAAGAGAGAGTTTAAGGCTGAAAAGAAGAAAAACAAACCCCAGATGCCAATTCTAGCATCTTTTAAAGGAAAAGTGTTTATGTGAATCTCAGTGTCTCTGTAACATGCATCTAATGTGCTTTAAATAAAATAGCAAACGTTTTATTAAACATTGCAGACTATTTTTTTAAAGCAAAGTTGCAATGAAGCCAATTTACAACAAAAAAAAGGAAGAAGAAGAAGAAGAAGGAGAAAAAAGACTTTTCAAGAAAGGAGGTTATGCTGTACTTACAATCGCTCCAGCTGCTTCAGATCCTGGAAGGCACCTCTCTCAATGATGCTGACCTGGTTGTCTTCCAGATGCCTAGAACCACAGAAGCAGCACAGATCAGGGACCAGAGGGGCTCAGGGATCCCTACGCTAGGCTTCTCGCCAAGCAGGCATGGCCATTCGGCCCCTCCCACAACCCTTGGGGCTCCCCCAGCTGGGATGAGAATGGTGGGGCAAGATAACTCCCATCCCGGCTTGGTATCACGGTAACCAGGGTTTCGCCGCCTGCACACTTCTACCTGACAGATTGGCTTCTGTGCCTCTATTTTAGGAATGTTCTCAGCAAATGTCCCCCCGAGCACTGCAGAGAGTTGCACAGAGAAGGAAGAGGTAGAAGCTGCTTCTTTTTTTTTTATACCAAGTCTTTTTTATATATTTTTTAAATTTATTCACTTTTAGAGAGAGAGAGAGAGAGAGAGAAACAGAGAAACATTAATGTGCGGTTGCTGGGGGTTATGGCCTGCAACCCAAGCATGTACCCTGGCTGGGAGTCGAACCTGCGACACTTTGGTTTGCAGCCCACGCTCAATCCACTGAGCTATGCCAGCCAGGGCAGAAGCTGCTGCTTACAGGAAACTACACATGGAGTCAGCACCTCTTCCCCCAAAGCTTCAGAGAGGCTTCACCGGGAAGGGCCTGCTCGGCTCTGTCTCTGGGTCATCGACTGGAAAGGTGAAGCTATTGCCGGACGGCCGTCTGTGATGAAGGAAAAGCAGCCTGGTGCCGGGAATCCCGTTCCCAACGCCCGCCTGCTCCCCACCCGTGGGTGATGGTCACAAAAGCTAGGGCTCCCCAGCCACAGGCTCTGCTGATCTACAAAGTCTTCGACGCAGGTGATTAAAACCCTCAACATTCTGCATCAGAGAGTTCGGTCTGTGCATGTGGCATTTCCTAGGAATTGGGCATACAATGAAACATTTGTTTCCCTAATTTTTTTTTTAAATGGCAGCTTAAAATGGATTAGCTGGATGGTCGGGAAGGGAAGCAATGAAACTGCATAGTTTCCATCCAGGGCTGACCCCGGTGGCGGCACGGGACTCAGCGGAGGAGGTGCAGTTCCGACTGAAGTGTGCTTGTCTGGAGGGTGGAGTTTAGGAAGGGCCCGGGCTCCTCCGGATTCGCCGGCAGAGAGGCACCCTGAGCGCCTGGAGGGCAGGCAGCAGGGAGGCAGAGCAGGCTTGAGGGGGCTTAGTTCTCCATCCAGAAAGATCCCTCCCATGACAGCCCTCCACCTCTGATACCTGGGGGGGTCCATAATCCTGTGTGCTTCCTAGGCTCAACACTTGGGCCTTTGTGTTTATGTTCAAGTCCGTCTTTCTTACTGTGAATAAGGACCGAGAGGGTAAGAACTTCTGTTCGTCATCATACTCCCAGCCCTCACCCAGTTGCTTAGACAGCAGCCACTTGCTAACAGCTGAGTAAGGGATGAAAAACTAAAGGTGACTTAGAACCACAGTTCATCCTTCATTTTACATGAAGGAAAAGACTAGTCTAGGTCACATGAAATGTCTCACTTAGACTATTAGAGTGAAGGGGGTATTTTGGCCTCAGTGATATTTTATATTTTTGTGAATTTGTTGCAAACAATTAAAAGTTAGGTTGTTACACACACATACACACATAACAAACTCCTTCTGAAAACTCAGCTGTCTCATTTCCAGGTACCAACTGTTGACCAGAACTGAGTATGGATCAGGCAAGGCACACGAGCTCCCTAGTTTGCCAAGTTCTCGTCCATTCTGAGTCACACATTTGTGTTACTCCTAGCCTCTTTGGCTGGCCTCTTCCAGGCTCCTCATTTTATATAGACAGACAGACACCAGGAAGCAGAAAGATTGAGAGACTTGCCCAGGGAGAAATTGCTTCCATCAGGTCATACAGCTAGCGTGGGCAGACTCTCCAAGTCCCACTGTGGTGTGCTCGCCGAATTCCATTTGGAATCCCTTTCCTGCCTTCTTACCAGCTGATGGTGTGACACTGGGCTATCTGGTCAACCTCTCTAGGCCTCCCTCTCTTCATTTGTAAAACAGAAGAAAAAAATTGGAAAAAAAAAAACATCTTATAAGTGAAACTAGAAATGGAGTGAAGTGTGTAAATTATCTAGCCCAGGATCTGGAGTATAATTAGAAGTTTAATAAATGTTCTTTTCCTTCCCTTCTCTTCCTTTTCCATCCCACCATATGGCAACGAGGGCCTTGGAATGCTAATAGACTCACACTAGCACATCTTGCTAAACATGGATGCAGTTCAATATTAGTGATGGGTAGTTTGTTCAGCTGGGATTTTACTATCAATCAATCCATCACAGAGCTTGTTGTCATGACTTCCCAATTATAAGAAGGAACAACAGTAGGGTGGCTGAGTGTCATATCGCCTCTGGGTTCTGAAGGAGTCCAACTCCAACCTCCTACGATGAATCTCTTAGTTCTTTACTAATTAATCAGTGCTAGCTTCTTTCAGAAAGGGGAATAGAAAATGCAAATATATCTGTATGGATAGCTGCCCCTTTCCCACTTTGCTAAGGCCCCGGAAGGCTACCTTTTACCAGCTCCATCACATCAGAAGCCTCCTTGACTCTGCCTTCCTGTTGGGTTCAGCTAGTTGGAGTCCCAGCGGGAGATCAGAGGGTAGGAGGACAATGGGTGAGGCTGGAAGATTTATCCCAGCTCCCTCCCTGCCAAGTCACCTCAGTTTGACTTCGTCTCTCTACCTCAGACCACAGGCCCTGCCAGGCAGTCCCTAACTCTGCTAGGGCAACCAATTCCTCCCCCTGCTCCTTGAGGACTAGACACCTGCTGCCACTCACCCCAGGGAACTATACCCCCTCTTCTTGCCCACGCCTTTGCAGATGACTATTTAGCTCTCCTCGTTTGTCCTGTGAGAGTATCATCTCTTTCCTGCTGGGATCCTGATTGGTAGGGTATCTAGGGCCTCTTCTAGATCTGCTTCCTACAGCTGTCAGAGTCCAGCCTAATATCTGACACTTAAAGGCTCAAGGAATAATCAATATTTGATGAATCAATGAATCAATGAGCTGTGAAATGCCCACCTCCACTTCTAGGCTGAAACGCAGTTCTGGAGCTCGAGCTAAAGCCCTTGCTATCACTCTCCTACTGACCAGACGCAGGAGGTCAGGGGATCCAGGAAAGGCTGGAGTGTCCATGGCTTGAGTCTGTTCTGAGTTAGGACACAGACTGTGTTCATTTTCAGCTCTTTGGGCATTGCTCTTTTTTTTAGTTTTAACATTGGATCAGAATTGGAAATTGCCCCCATGTGATGAAGGCTGGGCGGAGTTTAGCTCTTTTATTAACCCCATTTGGGATAAAGCTGCTTCCCACATTGTTGGCATAGCAGAGTTCTTGCAACAGACTACTAAGAAAGGGAACTAATTGATAGCACCAGAATAGACCTTTTCGTATTCCTACCCCAAGGGAGAAAGAATTGTTATTGGCAATTCTTATAGCTTCTCTTTGAATGCACTTTACATGGGAAAACTGCCTTTGGGTGAGGCCGAAGTTCCCTAATCCCTATTTTATCTGCTGTTGCCCATTCACTAGCACTGTGTTAACAGTTCCGCTAGGAAATGGAGGGCAAACTCAAATTATTCAAGACCATCGGGTCTTTTCAGCTTCACTATAAACTGTAAATAAGAAACAGATACAGGGAATGTGCCAAGGTGTGAAGAAAGCTTTTCAGAAAAGATAGTTGTCTAGGTTACTCTGCTAAAAAGAATAGATTGAGGGAAAATGTAGTTTCTATGTCTGGATATTTTATTGGTGTTTGTTGGAAAGCATTTCAGTCATCCCACCTACCAGATTCTTTTCCAGTAATACAGGGTCATGTGAATGGGACTGTCTTTGAGTTGATAAGATAATGAAACATATTATATTAATGAGGCCTATAAAGTGGGGGAAGAGAGAGGGTTTGGCATTGCTTATCGAAAGAAGAAGAGGGTACCAATAAACCATAGTCAAAGGAATGTTGTAGACCATCCAGGGGATATTAACATGGTCTTTTGTGATTATTTTAAAGTTTGTATTTGCAGAGAGCCGATATGGAAATCGGAATTTTTATTAGTCTTTCTGATGTAATGGTAAGAAAAATCAAAGGGTTATTTTTGACTTTGTTAGAAAATGAAGCACTAGGTGAAATTTCTGACTTGTATAAAAGGAAATCTTTCACAGATGCTGGGGGACTAGGAATGGAAAACAATAATAACAATAATGAGAGAAGTTAAATGTCTGTTCTATAAGCTGACAGAATGACCTGGAATCAGGTGTTTACTGCCTACATCTCCACAATAAAAATTACCCTAACACTGAGCTGTGGAATTCCCTTTCTCCTTCCAGTCTCCGTTGTGAGCCACACACACGCTTGCCAGGGCTGCCGATCACTCGACAGACGTGTGAGTGCTTAGACTCACAGGGGCGTCCAACCCGCAGCTCACATGCAGCCTGGGATGGCCATGCATGTGGCCCAACACACAACCGTAAATGTACTTAAAACATGATGAGCCTTTTTGTGATTATGTGTCACAATATACTTAATGTGTAGCTCAAGACAACTCCTCTTCTTCCAGTGTGGCCCAGGGTTGCCAAGAGGTTGGACACCCCTGGCAGAGCCAAAGAGAGACTTGGCAGAGGGTGGAAGGGAGTCAACAGGCCGAACACTGGAGACCGGTGAGGGGAGAGCACCTGCTGGCTGGAGGCCCAGGGTTCGGGTCCCAGCGTCCCCACACTGGTGCTCAAGGAAACTCAGGGAAGCCACCGCGTGTCAGAGCTGCATTTGCAAAACAGGATACACTATTCCCTTCTTGGCTTTCTAAACTTCCGATAACATGAGTGGCATTGCCTAGAGGTTGGAAAGCACCCATCCTGGGTGCTGATTCCTCCTCCCCCAGTTACCTGCCATGTGGAGCTGGGACCACATCGCCTGTCTAAGCCTGTTTCCTCTGGCATACTGGGGTTAATAACCACGTAGCAGAGAGTTTGGTCTGTGGAACGTACGTACCGCATGTATCTCAGTCATCACCATTATCATCACCGCGATTCCTTCTCAGTCAGGAGGAGAGTGCTATGCACGTAATACTCCCCAAGCTGTGGTCAGAATAAACAGACTGTTCACGAAAGTGTTGAAAACAAAGAGCGTTGTATGGGCAATTATGAGAGTTATATGGACCTTTATTTGATATGGGTTGCATGGTATCAACCCCAAATTCATAGATTAATGTCCTCACCCGCAGTGTATCAGAATTCAACCTTCTTTCGGAGACAAGCTCTTTACTCGGTAATCGAGTTCAAATGAGGTTATCAGGATGGGCACTAATCCGATATGTCTGGTGTCCCCATAAAAAGGGGAAGTTTGGACGTACATGCCTGAGTGAAGACAATGGAAAGGGACCTAGGAAGAAGCCACCATCGAAGAGTCAAGGAGTTCCTGAGGCCAGAAGCAAGGAGAGAGGCCTGGACCAGATCGTTCCCACAGCTCCCGAAAGGAACCAACCCTGCTGACGCCTTGGTCTTGGACTCCCGGCCTCAAGGACTGTGAGACAACAAATTTCTGTTACTTAAGCCACCCAGTTTGTGGTACTTTGTTACAGCAGCCCCAGAACTAATACACTGCTCATTCCTTATTTTGTGGATAAGAAAACCGAGGCCCAAAGAAGGGTAATGATTTGTCCAAAGTCACATGGGCAGTTAGTTCTGAGTCAAGACCAGAGCTGGCATTTCCTGGCACTAGAACAAAATCCACTGTGTTATAAAGGGCTATAAAGAAAAAGAAGGTGGTGGCTTCAGATACCAAGACTTTAGCTGAGATTTCTACTGAAGATCCGCCAGCCAAGATTCTACAACAAACGAATACCAAGGCTACGGCCGAATTGCCCAGACTGTGCTCCACATCTGGGCCACCCTTATGGGCCCAAATCCACTTCTCAGGAAAGAAGGAAGGAGAGTCCACTTGCTTCTCTCTCGTACCTCTGAATGTCTGAGACTTGTCCACGGACATGCACTTAGGTGGCCTAGACTTAGAGCTGGGTGGTCGGTATTTAGAAAGGAGACCTCGTATTGTTTGCTCCCCCATTCTACAAATGCCCATCTCAAGTTTTGCTACCTGTCTGCACAGCTGTGGGTGTTCTGTTCAACAAGGGCCCTGACCCTGTCTGACTCTCTCCCTCCCTCCTCTCCTCCTTTCCATTAAGCGACAAGATAAATAACTTTTGTCCTGATTTCTCCGTTAATGCACATGCTGGAGAAGAAATTACAGTCTCTTTGGAAGGGAAGCATGGCTAGTCGCCCTGACGTCGCTGTCATCCTAGAAGCAGGGCACGGTGATTTATCTGTGTGTTGCCTTCTGTTTTCCCTGTCACTGGCCTGACTTCTCCTAGCAGTCTGGCCCAGCCAGCAGCACAGAGGCAGAGAGCGAGACACCATGCAAACCTGGGCCCGCTCGTGAAGGGCTTTCGGCTGCAGCATGGCACTTGGGGGTGTGATGTCAGGGCAATGGAACACTTCCATAAGGCTGAAGAGCTACAAATAGAAATGTGTGGGACAGTCCTGTGCTACTTACAAGACGCGTAGATTCTTGAGTCCAGCGAAGTCCGTCTTGGTGATCCTGGTGATATTATTTCTGTCCAGGTCACTGAAAGGAGAGCACAATTGGGTTAAGGTTTTTTTCCAGGTTATGTTTATGGTCTCTTCAACCCAGACTGGCTCGGACTGCAGGGATGTTGCTTGTCAAGAAGTAGGCAATTCCAATGATTAATGCTATCCCCTGAGCATGCCCAATAACCTTAAGGATATTGTATGGAATAAGCTATCCATTATGCATGTAGTAGAGCCCTGTTGTACGTAGCTGCCTGGCTTCTGTTGCCCCTTCATCAGGTCACAAATTTTTCTTTGGACGCTCCCCTCCCCTAACTCACAGATCATGTCACAGAAGTGGGGGCTGACCCTGCGTCTCAGCCCCGGGAATGGCCGCCTACTCCAGGCCAGCCTTACATGCATTTTCCCTCCCTCTGCCCACGGTCATTGTTTCGGGAGTGCGTGACGACTCACACTCCCATAGGTTTCTCTCTGTTGGGGCTGCTAAGCTGGTGGGTGCTGCCAACAGCCATCTTGCCACCATGAAGAGAGAGCTTTCCAGGGAGAGCAGATGAATAAAGACTGATTTCTGGTGCTAGCCTGGGAGTATCTGGATGCACACGGGCTGGAGGCCAGACACCTCTGTATTTCGAGACTGCATGAGCCACTCTATCCCGTTTCCCTCACATTTTGACTTAACCTAGACTGAGCTGAACTTCCCAACACTCGAAACCAAAAGAATCTTGACTAACTTTGATACCTAGTGAGACACTTGTCTGTTTTCGAGCGAGTTTGAGGACTCGCCGAGGACGAAGATCGCATCTCACTTAACTCCACAGCCTGAGAAGGTAGAATATTTGCCCGGCACAGGGGAGAGGTAACCTCGTTGATTTCATATACAGGTAACGACAGCTACGTGGATCACTCCTGCCTCGGTTTGTAGGCTGAAATGCCTCAAACTGGTCCCAGAGAGAAGAATGCATTGTGGAAGAAGTGAGAGCCTTGTGGTGGCTTTGAAGCTGGGGAGAAGGGAGCACCACGGGGGTAGGAAACCAGGGTTCAGGTAAACCAAAGTCAAGAATGAACCTGCGAACAACCATCTAAACACTGTGTTCACTAAAACTATCTAAGAAGGCTGGAGACCAAAAAAAAAAAAAAGACCATAAATAATGTTATAATTCTTAATAATGAGTGTGAACAATTAATTCCTATCTGCCCTGCCTTCCTCTCTGAAGTGATGAGAAAATGTCAGGCCTTTGGCCAAACTGGCGCTTCAACAAGGCATCTGTGAACGAACTGACTTTGCTTTCCTCCTGGACACTGAGCTGCTAACAGGCCATTTCCCCGTGATGCGTCCCTATCTAAACGTTCACTAAAGCAGCCCCTCTTCCACCCCACACGCTTTCTGCAGTTTCAGTTGCCCATGGCTACCTGCAATGTGCAAACATTAAAGGGAACAGTCCAGAAATGAACAATTCATAAGTTTTAAACGGTGCACCATTCTGAGTAGCGCGATAAAACCCCTTGCCTGCCCACTCCGCTCTGCCTGCGGTGTGAGTCCTCCCTTCGTCCAGGGTCTCCACACGGGAAATGCTCCTGGCCCATGAGTCATTCAGCAGCCGACTCGGTATTCAGATCGATTGTCCTGGAATCGCAGCTCTAGTCGCCCATATTTTCCCCACTACTGCCCCAAAGCACAAGAGTAATGATGCTGGCAATTCAGACCCGCCAGAGAGAAGCTGTGAAATACTTCCTTTAAGAGTGAGAAGGCATGTGCGTACAGGAAAAACATGGCATGCAGAGGGCGCAGTGCTATCTGCGCTTTCAGGCATCCACAGAGGTCCTGGAACACAGGCCCCGTGGATAAGTGGGGGCTACTGTACTTCTCTGGTTTTCCTGGTCAGGCCCTGAAGTGGCCATCCTGCAACCGTGCCACCGTGAGACCTGTGTGGTTGCAGCTGCTTAAGAAGAGGGAAACGGCTTTCAGACTCTGGCACTGCGCAGGAGGAACAGTCCAGTGAGGGGAGGGATGACTCTCCTGATGCGGAAACGAGACCGAAATAAAAATGAAGTGGGTCCTTGAGGAGCCTCAGCTGGGAACCACCGCCCCTCCCCCCCCACACCCAGTGTTCCACAGTCTAAAACGGCACAGTTGTTTGTTAACCAGCCTGCGGTGGAGGGAGGCAGCATGTAGACTCCTGGGACCGAGCTGAGTGCGGGCGAGGGAAGGGCAGGGATTGCACAGGGAGCTGGAGGAGGGCTGCTCACGCACGGATTCCGTGCCAGCACACAGGCGGGAATCTGTGCACACTCATAACCACCTAAGTGTTCCTCGTGCCTCCCATCACAATTGGGACAGTTGCTTGGGGACCTTGACAACCGTGAATATGACAGTGCAACTAAGGGTTTAATTACTGGGACGCAGCGTGGTGTCTCAGCAGCTAGCGCTTGTGACTGCAGCACCAATATATTTCAATTAATATTTATTACGTGAAGGGACAGGAAGCGTGCTGCTGAGATGCAGGGGACTCAGGGCCGGGGCTGTGGTGGAGACTGTGGGGCGCCCTAGGAACACCGTGTCTGGCAGGCTGAGCTGCAGAGGCAAGCAGCCCCGAGTTGGAGTTTGAATCCCTGCCTCGCCACTTACTGAGTGGTCTATGGGCAGTTCACTCCACCTCCGAGGCTCAGTCTCTCCATCGTTTTCACGAGGGTTAAATAAGATGAGGCACACACAGCACTCATCTGACACTTGTTAAATAATCAGGGCCCTAGGGTTGGTTGAACTGAATACCCCCACCTCCACTCGGAAATTTCAGCGCACCAAGGGCAGCCGGCCGCCTCACCCCAGACTCTGCGCTGAGAGATGAACCCTGGGGTCCTCAAGAGACTCCGTTGGTTGGTATGCTATCTTCCTACGGGTGAGAAGAGGGGCGCGTTTTGTGGCTGAGAGGGTGGCAGCGCCATGAACGGCCCCTCACACCGCCTCTCCCTCGAAACACTTCTCTGACACCTATTGCCACGGTATCTTCCCCTAGCCCATCCAAGACTTCCAGACTTCCAGACTGCCAGGCTCCCAGGGAGGAGGCCAGGGGGACCACGGGCTTTGAGGTGAGCCGGGTCAGGGTTCAAATCTCTGCTCACCCCCCCACACCCAACTCTGGGGATTTGCATAAGTTACTTAACCCCTCTGACCTGCACGCTTTCTGTAACGCTCTCCGGCTTGCAGGCCTTGGGAAGGTGAGACATACGAGGCCTGGGTTGCAAGCATGCCTGGCTGACAATGGGAATTAACTAAATGGACACCGAGAAGAGGCTACATTACCTCATGTGCCCATCCCTCCCAACCCGCATTGCCCTAGTCCAGGCTCCGCCGGGCCGTTACAGTTCTCAGCCTGCACCTCTGGCCCCTGAGGGAGTCAGGGGCTCTCAGCCTGGGATGCGGTCTGCATCATCTGCAGGCACGGTCCGTCCGGGGTGACCCTGAGTGGGGAAGCCATTAGAGTCGAGAGGTGGGGTGGGCACGTGGAGGGGTTCTAAATCACGCCTGCAAGTGGTTTCTTTGTCATCAGGAGGCGGAGTGTGTGCCCCTGTCCCTAGAACCTGAGCAAGGCTTTGTGACTGACTGGACAGGTAAGATTAGGGTGGAACTGACGCAGAACTCCAGAGATCAGCAGAGACAGTAAGTGACTGCCTGGCCATCTCTTGGAGCACGTGCATCGGAGCCCTGAGCTGCCACACGAGAAGACCAGAAGACCACGGTGGAGGGGAGTAGGGGAGAGGAGGGGAGGGAGAGGAGAAGGGAAGAGGGGCAGAGAGAACGGGGTGGTGCCGAGGAGCCCTGGCTGTTCCAGCCCAGGCTGTCTGAGTCTTTCCGGCCTGGAGGTCAAGCACGTAAGTGCAGACGCCTTTGAGATTCCAGCTCCAGCTACCATCTGGCTACAACTTGTGAGAAACTCCGAGCCAGATCAACCAGCTAAGCGACTTGAATTCCTGCCCACAGAAATTGTGACAGAGAATACTAAAAGGAGTGCTTACTCTTCAGCCATTAAGTTTTGAAGTGATTCGTTTTGATAAAAAAAAAAGATGAAAGAGGAAGGAGAAAGCCACCTTCCAGATATTTAATTTACCATTAACAATGGAACTGCATTCACGTGACTCTCACTTGTCCTTTCCGAGGCCTGCCTGCCACCCTTGAGACTCTCAATGGTGTCATTGTGGACAAGGACAGCTGGCAGGGGCCAAAGGCACTCTAGGAATGAGGTGAGAACTGGCTCTTGTCTTGGGCTCTGAGGACTAAGACGGCATTGTTAGGGCTGCCCATCCCTCCAAGTGGGGCTTAGAACACCACGTGCACGCCCCGGTGTTAGACTCGTCATCACAGTGAGTGGGTACCGTCCGTGAAGGGCTGTGGCGAGCTGCCCACTGAACCGCGTCCCTCTGTCTGGCGCACACAGACAGGCTGCACTTCTCGGCTTCCCCTGCAGGTAGGTGCAGCCATTAACTCAGTTCTCACGATTACCTGGGCGGAAGCAATACATACTGCCTTTCGGCCTTGATCCATAGAACTTCCTGCTCATCTGGGGCTGGAGCCAGTAGATCCGGGGAGGGGGTATGTTGAGGGCGAGGGGGGTGGACTCCAAGAGAAGCAGACAGAGAGAGCCTGAGTCCCTGAGTGACTGTGTGGAACACAGCCCTCCCCTCCCCTGTCTCCCCAGTGTCCCACATCAGACTCAGAGATGCCCAAGAAGTCACTCTTAAGACACTGAAGTGTCGTGACCATTTGTTATACAATCTACGTTGACAAGCACATTATTTTTGTGTCAGGAGCTCTCTGTCCTTTTCTTCTTTCTTCCTGCAACTGAAAGGTTGGCATTAGTCACCCTTCAGCTGATAAAGATACTGAACATCAGCCTTAATGAGAGTTGATATTTGTTGGACCCAAACCACATACCAGGCACTGCGCTAAGAACTTTATGTTCGTTCTCTCTTACCCACCCAGCAATCCTCTGTGATAGGTGCTACTATTGTCCCATTTCTCACAGGAGGACACTGAAGCTT